TGGAGTGAGTCCTGTTGAAAGTTAGACTTACTTTCTTGGTTATAGTGCAGTAATTATCTTCTCATTAGCCTGACTGAAATGGCAACGTCTGCACTTGACACCTCCAGGAAACACTTGTATGGCTTTAGTGTTTTCTGCAAAGCTCTGACTACAGATTGTCTCTGAGAGGGGAAAATGTGTCGTAGTTGTGAGGGCAGTTGCAAGCACAGGGTAGAGGCAACCACTGAAAGGTTTTTTGTTGTCTGAAAGGTTATATTCCTGCAGGTCTTACGGTCAGTGGTTTTCTTCACTGGATTTTCAGATTGCTTTGCAATGTTAGAACTTAAAAGGTTTGGTTTCCTATGTCTACGGCCAGCTGATCACCTCTTAACTAGGATATTGTAGCTGAAGGTTGACCACCACCTACTGTTTGTCTGTGTCCTTGTAAATCGTTATCATTGACAAGGGAATTCTCGCTTCCTCCAGCCTCCTTCTCCCAGTCTGTTGTTTTCAGTAGTTTTGCTAACTTGCGTGTCTGAAACCAGCCGTGTATATTAGCATATGAGTGTTATTATTCCTTCTAAAGGCATTTCCACGCTATAACCTTTGACTTGAACAAGGAGTGTGACATGTTTTGAGTCTGGATTTTTTTTTCTTTCATTATCACTTTGAATTTCATTCTTCTATAAATTAAAGATGGAGTGTTGACACTATGGGTTTGTGAATTGTCATGGTTTGGTCAAAGCAAACACATGCAATATTCTAGGACAGTAAACCCAATATATAGATATCATGGCTACCTATATATTTCTCATTCAAACTAATAATTCGCTCCTTATTTTTGCACTCTAATATAAAAAGATTTAAGCCTTTGGTTTTGTGTATTAGAAATGCTCAGAGTATGAGGTTTTTATGTAACCATTGAGAAACCACAAATTATCATCTGAGATATACAAGTTTGATTTTCCGAGCTATTATGGAAGAAGTCCAGTTCCAGTAAAGTATTTTCCTTGAGTCTTAAGATGATTACTAGAAGCCAAATGTCAAGAACAAGCCTTGAATCAGTATTTATTGAGCAGAGCTGGTGATCTATCAAGCATCTACTGCTAGTGTTCAAAGGCAATTGGAATGAGGGATTTGCATTGTTGTGTTAGCGTAACAAGAATGCATCTAAGGGATCAAGGACCTTTCAGTGGTCTTTCTTTAAGAAATCCACCTGGTGCCTTCACTGAGCAAAGGATGCTGTGCTTCATCAGAGTAGTAATAATTCAAAAGGCTGTGCAGCTCTTTGGTACAGCAAGTACGAACTGACCTATTTGCAATAGTGAAACCGAATGGCCATGTGTTTTGGCAATTTAATACTCTAGCAGTTAATGTGACGATAATCTTAATATATAGGCTTCCAGCATGATCTAATCAGGTCTTGATACTTTTGTCTGTATTCAAGAAGATAGTCTAAGGCCACGATGAATGTTTATAAGGTTTTATAGATAAAAGGATTGAAAACTCTCATGATCGGGTCATGAGTCACAGGGGTGACATGAATAGACCTCAAAAAAGATTCCTCTCTTGTGGGCGTAGAGGCAGCTCTGTGTTTCCCCCACCTGTCAGTGCAGCAATGAGGACTGGAAGGACTCTGGAGAGCTCTGCATGACAGTGAGGGTTTGTTTCTTTGCCACAGCACAGGCCAGCTGTAGTGCGGTGTTTGCATCCCAATAGCTCCAGTTAGAATAAAAATGCATGTACGACTGGGAGGTAATTATTTATGTGTGATTGGAACTGGCCTTGTATAATGGTAGGGGTGTTATGCATATACTTTCTTTCATCAGTTGCTAATGAGAATATCATAGGAATGTGGTAGAAATTAATATTTATTTCTAATTGAAAAGTTGTGTATTTTATTTTTGTTAAGTAAGAGTAGTCTCTGTGGACTATTTTCCACTTCAAGCATACAGCATTTATGATTTCTGCTGGTAGGATGTGGTGATAGTTAAAACTAGGAATGATGTAGAGGGATAAACCAGAGGGTAACTGGGACAGAGAGGCACTCTAGTGTCTTTCAGGGTTCAGAGCTGCACAGGGAAAATCTGGATTCTTGGAAAAAGGTGGTAGTTCTGCATTTCTCATCTTCCTTCTTACTATCATTTCATTGTCTTGAGGGAAACCTGGAAGAAAATCATTGGAGACAATGCGAAAAGAACAAGAACAGCCAGGGAATTTTCTGCAATTCTGCTGTTTCCCACAATTCTGACATGACTTTCTCTTTTTTGTCTCATGACTTTTTTTTTCCCTCCAACCCTCTTCCTATCTTCTATCTTCCCATCAAGTTCAGCTTTGATATGTATACCTCCTGTCTTTTCCTGCTGCCATATTAAACCATAAAAACTGTGTGTCCAACTCGTATATATATCCATGGAAATTCAGAGTATCTATTCAGTACCTCGGTGCCTCTACAGATTCCTTTGTGCTCACTCTCTAAATTGGAGTGAGACTGAAGTGACCACATACAGAAGCTGTTGGATGAAGGAACTATCACGTTCATGTGGATGTGTGCTTTATCAGCCCTGTATAAATTGCAGGGAGCTGAGAGATGATGATGATGTGGAAATCATCTTCATAGCCCATTTTTTTTTGCCCTTCCCTTTTCTTCTAGCAACTCCTGCAATATTTCAGGTGAGGGGGGATCAGCCTGAATTAACGTGGCTGAAAAAGCATGGGATGTTTATGGTGTATACTCTATAGGAGTGCTTTCTATAATCTCGTTGTCTACTGAAGTCAAAGTGAAATATCTCTACCAAGAAAGTTTAAAAGAAACATAAAAGGTTGTTGGAAGGACAGGAGCGTTGTTACAAGGTAGTAACAATTGTTAATGTGTAAGCAAGATGACTACCCGTATTCCAGTGGTCTCAGCTTGCTCTGGGTTTTGTTCTCCCACAAGTTGCACTACTCATCCTGACTGAAGCTTTGGAGGCTGCAAGCCCTTCAGGGAGGGAAACACTGCCCCTCAGGGCGGATCTTCTTTTGACTACGCAAACAAGCAGCAAATACAGTTTGATGATACCTCATCAGAACTTCTGTCATTAATCAAAATGAGGTTTCAGTGTAAACACATAAAGCGTAAACACGTTTCAGTGTAAACTTGTAATGTGTTTGTGGGCCCAAACCCACATGCTGTAAACACTCTAATGATAATGAACCTGTGGTAGAAAAGGATGTTGGCTGGGCTTTCTAAGCTGAGAAACCCAGCTCCCCCTCACTGCAAACAGGGTTGGAGGATGTGCTTTGCATCTTGGAATTGGACTCTAACAGTCTTTGAAGTGGGTTCCACATCTGTACTTTCCTGTGTTCTTCTGTATCTTGGTAGGAAAGCTGCTGCTGAGAAGTGCAGTGCGTGAGGATCCCGTGATCGTGATTAGAGAATATGTTCCTTGTGTGTCCTTCCTCTGCTCTGTCCTTTGGGAGTAGATTGTTTATATTGCTGGAAATTGTAATGCAGTTAAACTATCTTCCAGCATGCAAACGTATGTCATTCCACTCTGTTAGTGTCCCTTGGCTGAAAATGCACGCTTTGATGTAATTGTATTTGAGTTGCTTTATGATTTATTAACAATTCCATTAAAATACCATGGATGTTTGCTACAGTGAGGGAGTTATGCAATCCACGGTAGAAAAGACATGAAGTTTCACAAAATAAAAGCTTTAAGTGATCTTTTATTTCCTTTTGCCCCCCCTTTTCTTTTGTCTTTTGGATTCCCCTTTGTAAAAAATTAATCAAATTCATCCTGGTGTGACCCTGTGCAGGAGCTTAGTTAGGACTTCAGGGTTGTGCAGGTTGTTGCATTTCTTAAACACATATGAAAAAATGTTCCTGAACCACAATAAACTGTTTGCTGTTAATGCAGAGCAGCACCTTCATAGGTAAGCTTAAAGAATAAACCTGTTTTTAAGAACAGTGCTGTAAGCTTACGTGAGAGCTCAGCTCCAGTGCTGCCAGAAGAAAAATCACCATTTCTATTGCAGTTAGCTCTGTGCTGCTGTTGCTGTCCCTGAATTAGTGTCCCTGAGTTAGAGCAGGATGGTCGAATTACAATGACAAGAAGCTTGTGAATTGATTTAGTTCTTACACAGTTGATTACACAGGCTAATGAATTGATTTTGTGCATTAAAAATGTATATTATTTTTTTTCCAGTATAATGTATTATGGAAAACCTTGGGAATTGTTTTTCTAGCAGTTGACATCTTATTTTGTAAATTGTCTCTCTAAAGGGCTTAAGGTTGGGCCTTTTTATTTTCTATGCGTGTTCCATGCAAATTCAGCAGAAACATTGCTTCAGTCTTGGTTGTGTATGGATTTTTAAAAGCAAAATCTTTATTGTGTGTGTGCAATTACACTAACAAATGTTCATGACATCCTGTGCAAGAAGCAGCAGCAACATACTGCGTAACTGGAGTGTATAGTGATTAATTAGCCACAATATATTTTGAAAGATGGTGAGTTTCTAAGTTAATTTATAACCGTTACTTAAAGCTGAGTAAATTGTCCCTAAAGAGATGCTGGTGGATTTTTTTTTTTTAATTAATTGTGCATAGCTATTAAGCGTAACATTTTTGTAGAAGTCATTAAAAAGTTGCTCAGGTCGCACTTCACAGCTTAGGCTCATATCCAGTGTTGTCACTCTGTGCTTCACTGCTAGCGAGTCTATATTTTGAACGAGACATTGAAGGTACCGTCTGGCCATCCATGGAGAAAGTAAGGGAGTTATGACCCTGTCTTAAAAACAAACCCAACCCCCACCCCCTAAATAGAATGAGTGTCCTAGAAAACGTGTTCTCTTTCATTGAGATGGCTCCCACTGCATGTAAAAGCTGGTGTTTAAAATACTTTGTTCCCTGCTTTTGCCTGTCCGCTCAGTTGTGCTACTCAAGAGTAGGTTGTTATTTTGTAAGCTCTTTGTGTTGAGGATATAAAGTAAAATAAGATTTTGTACTGAGTGTTTTTTCTGTTATGGTTTTTATTTAGATACTTCAAGAAGTGTCAAGGCATCTCCAGAAACAGCTGAAATCTTTTTTCAGAAGTTAAGAAATAAATATGAATTCACAATCCTGGTGACCTTAAAACAAGCCCGTTTGAATTCAGGGGTTATTCTCTCTATTCATCATTTAGATCACAGGTAAGTACTGCTACCTGTATGCTAGTTAATGAAAGTGGATGTATTTATGCAGTCAAAAATTGAACATAAATTAGGGCAACATTTTTGTGTAGCAGGTCATTTGCAAATATTTATAGTGTTTGGTAGGCATATTGTGCAGATTCATAAAAATTCACAAGTCTGAATCAGCCAAGGGAAAGTGGAACAGCTGTTACTCTTTAAATGTCTCTTGCTACCAAGGGCATGAAAAGCCAGTTCTCTCTTGTCATTCATAACCATAAGGACCAGATGCTCAGCTGGTGTAAAACTGTCACGTCAATATAGCTAAAGTGATTCACAAAGCCTGGCCCTGTACGTCCACCTCTTCACCAGTTGGTTTTTAACGCTGCAAGGCCTTTAAAAAAAGAAAAAAAAAATCCTCCAGCTATGGGCTTACACCTCCCAGGAATGGCAGAGCACTTTACTCACAATGTTGTCAACCTTAAAAAACTAAAGTGAATGACATGGATCATTTAAGGATTGTCCTTTTGATAGGATAAAGACTGCTAGAGAAATAAGATATTCTTTATATATCTGCCTGCGTAATAGCTGTTAAAGGTAACCACCCTATGATTCTGTGACAGAATAAAAAGGAGTTTTAAAATGTGCACTTTCTAAGCAGTCATTAGCACAAGCAACAGATGATCTGTGCTTTAGGTTCATAGTCCTTTTTATTTTCCTATGTAGAATCCCATAATTCTTTCTTGATGATCTTAGTACAAAATAGGAAAAAAAGGTGAAGACAGATGTTCAAGCAAAGTAATCTGTCTGTTTCTTTTACATGAGTGTACAAGTTCTCATTAGCAGGCATGGTGACAAGTATTTTGCGCTGGAAGATGCTCCAATTCTACTTTTATTCTATTTCCCAGAGGCCCTATCTTCTGCAATTCACCTATTTAAAAAAACAAAACCAAACCAAAACAAACACCAAGCTACAAAACAAACAAGAAGAAGAAAAAAGAAGGGAAAACGTTCCCAGGGATCATTATGCTAAGTTTATAAAAGCATCTTTAAATGTTGTAAGAAGGTGGTTGAATGTCTCCTGGATGATATTTACAGATGTTATATTATAGGAGGGCCAAGGGGCTTATCTGTTAACTGTTACCTACTTCTCATCTGCAGGACTGAGCAGTTTGCAAGGGACAGAACTGGGCAGCTGTGATTATTGAGTTTTGAGCTCAGACTGTACCACCATATGTGCAAATCATCCCAGATGGAAAAGTTTATCCTGTCTCAAATGAGAGAGTAGGTTTGCAGAGCCAGCTGTGCCCTGACAAAGCTTGTTTCTACATTTGCAGGAAGAACATGGATTGGTTGGCCTACTGATAGGGCTAACACAACTATATTTGAAATTTCAAAATTAGAGATGAAACATTCATGTGCCAAAATCTCTGCAGAGGTGGGCAAAGTGGTCACCAGTGTGGAGCTCTCAGACGCTGGAAAAAGAGAAGAGCCACAGCCTTTCTGAAGGGAGACAATGTTTGCTAGAAAACCTTTCCTGGCTTCAGAAATGGCATGAAGAAAGAGACATGCCATAGAAGATCAAAAAAAGTGTAGTGTATAACTGAGCAAAACTCAGCAAACGTTAACTTGGGGAGTGGCCAACTGAGACAAAACACAGCTACTTAGTGAATATAAAGAGTAATAAAAATACAAAAAATAATGTGTGATGAAATTTCATTGAAGGGTTGCAGAAGAATTTGACATATTGTTTGGGAAAATAGTTAATTCTTGAAGTGAGTAAAGCTGGACAAGAGAACCACCGTTGCAAGAGTGCATTAAATTGCTTCTATCCAGCTGTAGCAAAGGAAAGGTTAGAGCAGTGCCTAGTGTCCATGTTGCGTGGCCATACAAACATAATGCTGCTTATCTCATTTGAATCTGGTTCATCCATGTCATTTGTCTGTATAAAATATGTCCATATAAAACCTATGTCCATATAAAATATGCTTGTGAAAGGGTGACAAACAGGACTCTGAAAATCCTATTATTTTATATTGGTATATTTTTAGGGATGAGTGATTAGATTTTTAACAATATATTGATAGCATTTATAATTTTTCAAGAAATTTCCTTCATACCTTAAATATTTGCTGGTTTTATTGTTATGTTTTCACCATCTCCTGTTTATTTGCATATGGAATCTGAACTGTCTAACTGCAGAGTTTCTAGCTGAAGTCGAATCTGCATTATGTGCGTAGATATGTTAACTGTGGATGCATAACTTAGTGGCATTGCTGAGCATTTTTGATGTCCTTTTTCTCTTAACTGTGGAAATAATGCTATAATGTTAGAGGTATGAAAAATGAAGATAATACCCAGTTCACACCTTGCTGAAAAAGACTCCTACCACTCTTTTAGCCAGTGTGACCTCTTTATCTTACTATGTCCTCTTAAATGATGCCTAGTGTTTAAATTTTTCTATACGATGTATGCTTTATGTTTATTTTTGGGGTTTCCTTGTAAGCCTTTGGGCAATCAAAGAGGAAGAAAAAAGCCTGCTAGGTGATTTAAGCAAATAGAGTCACTCATCAGGTCAGCTTTGGATGAAGCAGCTAAAGAACAATTTACTTGTGAATATTTCATTGCTTGCTTTGGGAGAATATTAGGTTGTCTATTGAAAAAAGAAACTTGAAGAATTTGTCTTAAAAATGTTAGGCCTAATCTGATCCCTTTACAGTCAGGGAAAATCATCATTACCTTCAGCAGGTGTGAAATCAGTCTCAACAAAAGTATGGCTGGAAAGAACTTGTGGCTATTAAATTAGATATGCCTTTAAGCTTTTAATAAACACATTCTGGTCTATTCTATGCTAGGATGTACAGAAAGATGTCTGTGTGCCATAGTAGTGTTTGTTCAATTTAATTGTGCTAAAATGAGGGCTGACTTAGGTGTGAATAATACTGAAATTAGGCTAGTATCTCTTGAGTCTACTGTAGTAGGTTATGGTTTTAATTTTCTTTTATGATGAATGACAATAAAGACAAGAGAATGTAGAAGCTGAAAGGAAGCATTCGGAAGGGTTACATGAAATAAGTGCTTCTTCAGTGCTGGATTTCCATCTCTCTGATCTTGCCCACCTCTGACCAGGGGCTTGTCTGTAGCAGCCCTTTAGTTCTTAAACAACTTCTTGTGAACTCTGTGTCACAGCAGTCATCATAGTTGTAACGCCAGACCTGACTCCACTCCTTTGCACCAGCTTTAGCCTTGTATAGCTCCTCTGATGTCAAAAAAATTTACGCTAGTATTGAACTGCTACCTTGTGAGATAGAATCACACCTGGCTATATTCTTAATTTACAAAGGTCAGTACTAGCTCTTTTCTGCAGTGAGGAGTGCAGTGGTGGTGAGGAAGGACGGAGGTGGCGGTAACTGAAGGATATAATCAGTTATCACACAAGTAACTTTTCATGTGTTTTTATTTTAGAGAGGTTTCATAACAGCTAATGGTTCTGGGGTAAAAGAATTTCTAGGGTACAAGAAAATCAATATGTTTGTTTAAAGTGTGGGAAAAGGTATATTTATTTATTCAGTGGCTTGGGAAATATTTTATGCATTTTTGAAAATTAATCAGAGTGAAAACTCATCCTCTTTTTGCATGGGTCTAGGCACTTTAGTGCAAATATGCTAATTTACAACAACTGAGGACATTTCCTAAATTGCAGTTATGTTTTTAATTTTATAGTTTTCTTTAAAACTATGTACTTAAAATAGTTTACATGATTCAGAGTTTACTGATTCAGTCTGTGTTGTATAGTTTTATGGTTGGGTTTTTTTTTCTCTTTTTTGGTGGTTCTCTTTTGAGGATCATCAAAAATGAATACTTTCACTGATGTATGGTCATGTAACTACTTAAGGTTTTGTGTCTTAAGATGTTGCCAGGACTGCTCTCCCAAAGTTTCCTCTCTAACGCCATGTGGTGAATGCTGTCCCTGTAGGTACATGCAGAAGTTCTCCATGTAAATCTGAGGCTTGGACATTTGCTGAGGCTGGGCTGTTGCTGTTGCCACAAAAAGTAGCTCCTGAAAGAATTTCTGCGGATATTGTCATCTTTTTCTACTCTATTGAATGATTTTATTTTTCTTTTACTAGTTGAGTATTCAAATCTTTAAAACCTGATCTTAAAGTGAAGGAATCTGAAACGATACCTGTAACTATCCCTTCCTAATTTGCTCACATTCTTCCACAGAGATTGCTTTTTTTCCCCACTGACTAGAGCAGCCAGGGAGTTCAGGCAATGGTGGTTTTGGGTACAGCTTGGAGGTGATACTTTCAAGAAAATTCTTATGGTCTCAGGGAGTCTGAACTGCACATCAATTACTGTTCAGACGAGTTTCAGGCAGCTGAGTGCATCTTTCTGGGCAGATTTAGGTATGGCTTATATCTGAAAGGTAGAAGTTACAAATGTTGTCTTAACTTGAGAGCATCACTTTGACCCCATACAGTGCCCTGCCTAAAATGCATTGTACTTTACAATAACAAGGTAAATATTTTGAATGATGTTAATGAAGTGGTGCCTTAAGTCTGAGTGAAAGCGTTGTTACACACTGATGCTGTGTGCTTGCTCTCAGCCTTCAGTTTAGGCTGTATTATCCTCCTCATTTCACTTCTGAATTTGTCTCACTGTCTTCTTGATGGAAGAATGAGCAGAGAGATGATTTGAATCTGCAAGGGGGTTGTAATATATGTTAGGTCTTACTATTCCATCATATATTTTCATTTAATTGGCAACAGTGGAGAGATGTAATAGAGCTTTTTCATCTCTTCATGGTTAGATGTCTTTATACAACTAATGTTATATTCGTATCTCTTTAGATACTGTGTATTAGGGCCCTCAAAGGATAAGATCACTAGATTGTAGTTTAACTGTTCTTTCCTTTGGTTAGTGCTTTTTGTATCCTGAAACAGAGCACTGAAATCAATAGAATATTATGGACAGGCATTGCCTATGCTTAATTGTGTATCTCTACTAATTTATTCAAT